GTTGTTCAGAGAAGATATTGAGAAAGTTTTTGCGGAAAATACAGTGTCCACCATGTCTTAATTTACTCCCTTGAGATATTTTGTTAGATATGTTAATTCCATACTTAGTTCATCAAAGACAATTCAGCACACATAGGGAGAACAGTCATTGAAACAATGAAAGAATAGATTTATCTGAGGTACATATAATATCCCATGATTTGTGTGATATCATATTCTGTATATACTTTCACATCATTTGTCAATGGCAGTGCAGTTGTGGGAAGAAAGGTTATAGTACATTTTAGGGGCTGGAGAGATGGCTCAGCAGTTAAGAGCAATGGCTGCCCCTGCACAGAACCAGGTTCATGCATCCACATGGCAGCTAACAACTTTCTGTAGCTTCAGTTCCAGGAGATCTGACACCCTCTTCTGAAATCCTCAGGCATTGCATGGCACAGGTACACTTACATGCAGGCAATACACTCAAATATATCTTAAAAGATAGTTCTCAGTACATTTTAAATCCTTGAAAGAGTATTTCATCCATGTCCCAGTTGTTAAAGAATGGCTTTTATACTGTTCTTGTTTTATTAGCATTAGTCTAACATATGACAGGAAAATTATATTACAAATAATTTTTTTTGAGACAAGTCTCCCTGTAGCCCCAGCTGGCCTGGAACTTACAGAAATTTGCCTGCCTCTACCTCCCGAATGCTGGGACTAAAGGAATGTGCCACCATGCCCAGCTTTATATGGCAAATAATTTAGAGAAGTCTCATTCATGATTAAAATTTAAGATTTTTATTTTTAATTGTATGTATGTGCATGCCTGTATGTGAGTTTGTGCACACGAGTGCAGTTGCTCCCTGAGGCCAGAAGCATCAGATCCCTTGGAGCTGGAGTTACAGGTGGTTGTGAACTGCCATGTGAGGTGCTGGGATTGAACTTGGGTTCTCTTCAAGAGTGTACCTCTTAACCTCTGAGCCATCTCTGCAGCTCTTAGAGTTTTTGTTTTTCTCTATTATTTTTACTTTGTGTGTTATGAGTGTTTTGCTTGCATGTGTTAAGTGCACCACATTCATGCAATCCTGAAGAGACCAGAAGCCGGTATATTCTGGAGCTACAAATGGTTTTTTGCCATTGTGTGGTGCTGGGAATCATACCCCAGTCCTCTGGAAGAACAGCAAGTGTTCTTAACTGCTGAGCTATCTCTCCAGCCCCAAGAGTTCACTTCTTACGTCAAGGTGTTAAAAATATAGCTATGCCGGGCATGGTGGCACACGCCTGTACTCCCAGCACTTGGGAGGCAGAGGCAGGTGGATCTCTGTGAGTTCAAGGCCAGCCTGGTCTACGTAGTGAGTTCCAGGACAGCTGGGGCTACAGGGAGACCCTGTCTCAAAAAGACAAAAAATATATATATATAGCTATGAGTAAGGTTCGTTCGTTCCTTCCTTCCTTCCTTTCCTCCCTCCCTCCCTCCCTTGTTGTGGGTGTCCTGGGGCTCTCTGGGTGGGGGTAGAGTCTGCACGGAGTCACAACACAGACACCGGGAGTCAGGCGAGAAGCAGGCAGTGCAAGCAGCTGCAGACTTGTTTACTGCAGATATGGGGATCCCTTATATCCCCCCTCCTGGTGTCCCATTGGCCCCAGTAGGCTTTCTTGGATCGTGTCTGATCCTCATTGGCCCTCTCCGTGGAGCCATCTTGCATCAGCCGTCTCCATGTCCTTTGGCAGAATACAGCTTAGACTCAGCCAGATGTTTTTGGCGCGTTTGCATTGCGCGTGTGCAGGTTGTTCAGGCTGCACTTCCTCCTACACTTCCTTCTCTTTCTTTTTTTTGGGGGGGGCAAGTCTTTTTGAGACAGGGTCTCTCTGCAGCCCCAGCTGTCCTGGAACTCACTATGTAGATCAGGCTGGCCTTGAACTCACAGAGATCCTCCTGCCTCTGCCTCCTGAGTGCTGGGACTAAAGGTGTGCACCACCATGCCCAGTTAAGTTTTTTTTTTTAAGTGTTAAACTCACACTAAGGGTTGTTAGGGTTCCAAATAGCAGCTCCCCCCCCCCCAAACAGGGACCTACAAACTCTGCTGAGAAGAAGCCTGCCTTTCCTCTGACCTCCAAAGATAAGATAAACAGAGTTCCTCTTATCTTAAGAGGAAAAAGAAAACACTTCCACACCCTAATCCTACCTGCTTCCCCCTCCCTGATTTCTCCCACAAACATTCCCCCCTTCCACACCCTAAAGCCCCCATATGTAAAGTCCCAGCTCACAACC